CCATCTCAGCCTGGCTCTGTGCCTCAACTTCCCTATCAGGAAACTGAGGCAGACATCCCCACCAGCACGGTGCAGTCACCCAGGGAGGTTAGGGTATGGCGCTGCATGTTCTTCATCTTGTGGAAGGGGACAATGGGGTCCAAGGAAGGCAGCCACCCACCTGCTGCTCACAGATCCATTCTCTGCCCGCCCCCCTCCCCCCTCCCCCCTCCCCCAACCATCCACTTCCTCCCCAGGCCCCCCAGTTGTTACTGGCTGAGGCCTTACTGGATCCTGACCTCCAGCTGGAAATGGGGCTGGTGGGATGAGGCCAGTTGGTGTGATGAGGGTCTGGTGGCCATGCAGGGATCTGGAGGACTAAGGCCATGCCAACGGCCCACACAGACCCCCAGGGGCGGACAGGGCGGGGTTTGTTCTGTACATTTGCTGCAGGTCACATGATCCAGGAGAAGCCAAGCCCCTGACTTCCCCAGAGCCAGAGACTGACGAGCTGGGAACTAGTTAGGAGAATACAGGTCAGCTGAGGAGCCAGCCGGCAAACAGCCTCAGCAAGGTCTCGACCTCAACCCCCTGCCCGCTGTTTGTGTCACTGGAAGAGCAGAGACGCCCCCCCACCCTCTCACAGGACCGGTCCCTGCCCTGCATCTGAAGACCACCTCCCCATCGCTAGTGGAGAGCTGAGCCCAGCAGTACCCAGGCAGACCCGGCTTGCCACTTGCAGAGGCTTCTGTATCACACAACCCAGATACCCCACCCCCATGGCCAGCCGCTAGCTCCCCGTAGACAGGGCAGACAGTAGGGCTGGTGTGGCAGGCAGGGATGACCAATGAATGGGGCCCAGGAGGAAGAGGAGACACACACCAGGCCACCACGGAAATGGTTGGACACAGGCCCAGGAATCAGAGCTCCGCGCAGTGTATTCAGGGATGGGGCCGCCTCCTACACAGGCCTCTGTGTCCTGGAGACACACACCTCAGCTTGGGACACTCTCTGGACAAAGGGTTTCCTAATTAGAAGGATACTTGTTGTATGCTGCTCTAGAGGGCAGGCCGGCAGGCAGGCAGCAGGCAAGAGGGAGCTCAGAAGAGAGCAGAGCTGGGCGGCAGAGATTGTGGCTCTGAGCACGTGACCAAGTCCCTGCTGTCTGACTCGCCCCTGTCTGTGTGCTCACCGTTTGATGGAGGTCTGCCATCTCAGAAAGCTAGGCACCTGGAAGAAAGGCCTGGTAATCGACATTTTTTTTAAAAATGCAGCCATTGAAAAGCCCGGGACACGCAGTTGTACTGTGGCACCTGGAGTCACCGTGAGTCAGAGTTGACACAAAGGTAGCAGATGAACTTGCCTGCCCCCCACCCCCACCCCACCAGTCTGCCAGACCTATCAGGACAGACCTGTCTTCTTTGTTCCCAGGGATGCCCCCAACAGTTTGCGCTCAACACTTAACCTGAACAGAAGCCCCGGTGGCACTATCAGGTAAGGGTTGGACTTGTAACCCCCGAAGTCAGCAGTTCAAGCCCACCAGCCGCTCCTTAGGAGAAAGATGAGGCTGTCTGCTCCCGGAAAGACTGACAGCCTCGGAGATCCTGTCTAGGGGCGCTGTGAGAATCAGCAGAATCAGCTCACTGGCAGTGGGTGGTGGGGCTTAATCTGCAGGTGGCCAGTTCGGGGGGGGCCCCCTCCAACCCCCACCCACACCCACAGCAGCACCACAGAAAGACCTGCTGACGGTCTGCTTCCCTGGCAAGGACAACCAAGAAAACGCTGCAGAGCACAGTTCTGCTCTGTAGCACACGGGGTGGCCCTGAGTGGGAACAGACTCACTCAACAGACACCTCCACAGCAGCTGGATCCGGCCCCCCAGCGGGCACAAAGCACACAGCAGGCACTCCAGGGGAGCCCTTGGGTTCCAGGAGCCGGCAGTCCCCTCCTCCACAGAAGGAGGCTCCATTTCCCTGGACAAGTTCCCACAGGCAGGGCTCACCCACCTCACTCCTGCCCCCAGCCCAGCGAGGCGCTGCAGCACGCCACCCCAGGCCAACCCACTGCCATCCTGGCATTTCCACTCAGAGCCAGCCTAGACAGGGTCTCTGAGTCTGTTCATCTTTACGGGAGCAGACAGCCTCGTCTTTCTCCCAAGGAGCAACGGATGGGTTTGAACCGCCAACCTTGCAGCGAGCAGCCCAACACGTAACCCTCACAGGGCTAAAGATCCCACCTGGGCCTTGAGAGCAGAGACTGTTGGCTAGGTGTCGTTTCTTTAATTCTGCCCCTGGAAGGGTTTGTGAGGGCTCCAGGGTTTTCCCAGAATCCCTGGGGAAGGGAGGAGGTGGTAGCAATGTATGCAGCTGCCACCTCGAAGGTAAATGACCAGCCATTGAGAACCCAGGGGTGGGGGTGAGGGTCACCTTGAGCCAGAAGTCTACGAGCTGGCAAATGGCTGGTTTTTAATTGGTTTTTAATTTTTGTTTTCCCCTTGTCATTCCCCAGAGCACTAAAATATAGAGAAATGGATTGGCCAGACAGGAACTTGTCAGTAACAGCAGATAGGAAGCTGGTGAGGCAACACACAGCCATTGAGTCAATACCAACTCATTGTAGACAGCATTGTCTTTCTCCCTCGGAGCGGCCAGTGGTTTCAAACTGCTGACCTTGTGCTTAGTAGCCCAACATGTAACCACTACCCTGCCAAAAAATTTTTTTAAAACTCATTACCATTGATTTGATGCTGAATTATTTCAACTGTGAAGAACAGAGTAGAACTGCCCCTGTGGTTTTCTGAGACTATAACTCTTTACAGACGTAGAAAGCCTCTTCTTTCTCCCTTGGAGCAGCAGGTAGTTTCAAACTGCTGACCTTGTGGTTAACAGCCCAACATGTAACCACTATGCCACCAGGGCGCCTTTTTTTGAGCTCAAAAGGGATGGCACAGGCTGTGCGCCTGTAAGGTTCAGCCTCCGGGCATTTGCTGGGGGTGTTATAACCCATCATAATTACAATTTTGCTGCATTTCATCTTTAAACAAGGTCGCAGCCTGAGGGGCAGGCCTGCCGAAGAGGAGGGATTTGGGCCACTGAATCCACAAATAGTTATTGGACGCTTTTCTCGTTGGGTGTCATGAAGCTGGCCCCAGCTCATAGCAGCCCTGGGCTCGCTGGGCAGAGTGAAACATTGCCAGGCCGTGAGCAGGCTCAGGGCAGCTGGGAGGCAGAGTCGATTTTGGCAGCTCCTGTGTGCTCCCACCTACGGGGCACTGGGTGGACAAACTTCTGTGGTGATTTTCAGAGGTAGATCTAGTCTGCCTTAGCCTGGAAGCTCCGCTGAAACCTGTCCACCTGACAGAGCTTCCCATGTCACCGCAACTCATCAGCCACCCCAGTGTGACAGATGGGCGGTGATTTTACTTGTTGGATGAACAAAATGGCCAAACCTACTGCCATGAAGTCAGTTGTGGCTCAGCAGACCCCACATCAATTCCTGGGGTGCTTATACACCAGACAGCTAACCGGAAGGTTGGCAGTTCGAACCACCAGGCGCCCCACAATAGAAAGACAAGGCTTTCTACTCCCGTAAAGAGTTACAATCTCAGAGACCCATAGGGGTAGTTCTTTCCTCCCCTGCAGGGTTGTTATGAGTCGAAATCCACTCAAGGGCAGTGAGTGAGTGAGAAATCTTTACAAAAGAAGACAGCCTCGTCTTTCTCCCAAAGAACCTGCTGGTGGGTTTAAACCATGACAACAACTGCTTGGATGGTTCATTTATTGGATCCTCAGCACACCACCCTTGAATCAAACCCAATTCATCGCTTACTCACTGCCATCATAGACAGCCTCATCTTTCTCCCTCGAAGTGGCTGGTGGGTTTCAAACTACTGACCTTGTGGTTAGCAGCCCAGCACGTAACCACTGTGCCACCGGGGCTCCTTAAACCAACTCATCGCGACCCTGTAGAGGGCTCCAAAGCTGTTCGTCTTTACAGGAGCGGACAGCCTCAGCTTTCTGCCACGGAGCAGCTGATAAATTTGAACCGCTGAGTCTGCGGTTAACTGTCCAACACTTACCTGACAGCGACACACTCACCCCAAATTCCTGCTTCCTGCCTGGTGGTGCCCTAGATTCTGAGGACCCAGTCATGAACTAGACACCCAGGTTCCGTGCAGGGGGATTTCCAGCAGGGACCTGTTCTAAATGTCTTAGTCTTAGCTCATTCATATCTCCCAAGAAAACCTAGGAGAGTGTTAGCTAGTATTGAATTGGACCCTGAACTCATGATGGCCCGTGCACAATGGGACAAAACTCTACCTGACCCCTCACCACCTTGACTATCAGACAGATCACTGTGGCCCATAGGGTTTTCACTGGCTGGTTTCTTGCCCTCCCCAAGAATGACGCCAGGCCATTCTTGCTAGTCTGTTGTATTCTGGAAGTCCCACTGAATCAAATTCAGTCTCCACTGGCAGCTGGGTGGCGCTGTGCCTTGGCTGGGACTCAAACCGGGGTCTCCCACCTGGAAGGAGAAAATTCAACCACCAAGCCACAACTGAACTACTGTATTCAGATGAAGATACTAAACCTAAGAGCATCAAAACTAAGAGAGAAGGCTGTAGAGGAGGGATTTGAACCCAAGCTGCTGGTCCCAAGCAACTATAGACTGATGAGAGAGGTGGGACCCGCCTCTCCAGCTCCAAGACAGCTACAAAGACGTCATCTGTCTGTGGAGACATCCCTGAATGTCCCAGAGAAACCGCTAGGACTGGGGACGAGTGGCAGGCAGACAGGGACCACTGAAATCCAAGTGTCATCCTTGTTGTCTGAGGGACAGCTTGTTGGCTTCTGCTTGCTCAAGATAAGGACCTGCCTCAAATCAAACCAAACGGACTGCCACTAAATGGCTTCCGACTCACATCGACCCTGTAGGACAGAGAGGAACTGCCCCTGTGGATCCTTGCGGCTGTAAGGCTTTACTGGAACAGACAGCCTCACCTTTCTCCCAGGGATAAGGGTTGGAGTCAGGACCATTTCCCAAACAATCCACAGAGCCAGCCGGGACCTTGGGGGATCTGCTGGCCAGGGCAGCTGTCTGCTAGGCTGGGAAAACTTGAGTCCCATGTATTCCAGGTCCAGAAGTGAATCTGGGCCCCCTGGGATTGCTAGAGGTGGGAGACCAACAGTCAGGGGTAAACCCAGACCAAACTCACTGCCACCAGGTCGATGCTGACTCAGAGCGACCCTATAGGACAGGGTAGAGCTGCCCCATGAATTTCTGAGACTGTGACTCTTTACGGGAGTTGAATGCCCCATCCCATACCCCCACCCCCACACACACACCTTGGAGAGGCTGGTGGTTTGAAACGGCTGACCTTGTGGTTCACAGCCCAATGTAAAACCACAAGGGCTCCTATCGATTAAAGGCGGATCAAAAAAATAAGAAAAAACATTGCCACGTGAGTTGATCCCACGTGAGTTGATCCCACGTGTTACAGAGAAAACCGTGGCGTCGGTTTTCATTGGCTGTTACCTTTTCGGAAGCTGGTTGCCAGGCCTTTCTTCCGTGCTACCACAGGATGGGTTCAAGCCACCTTTTGCGCATCAGTCAGTCAAGAGCATACTGTGTGTGCCACCTGGTGGAACACAGGTGTGTGTGTGTTGTGGGCACGGGGAGTGTCTGGAGTTTACACTAAAGGACACATGGGGTCTGTCTTTCCAGACACCAGAAATACCAAGCTGTGCCCTTGCCCTCCCCAACTGCTGAGATCCTGTCACCCGTGGAGTCCCCCCTTAATGCTCCAGCTGCTACTGAAAGGCTGGCCGTTTGATTCCCCACAGAGGCACCTCAAAAGGGAACTCCCTACCCAGGCCCAGGAGTGTCCAGTCCACTCGGACTCAGAGCAACCTGTAGGACAGCCTGGGCCTGTCCTTTAGGGTCTCAGAGCTGGCAAAGGCGCAGAGGGGAAGCAGACTGTCCCATCCTGCTCCCTGGGAGCAGAGGTATGCCGAGGGCCCGGGCCCACCCCACCAGGGTGCCTCTGAAGAAAGGTGTGGCCATGCACTCCGACTTCGGAAAAACCTTTGGGCGCACAGTCCCCCCCTGACCAGCTGGGGGTCCTGCAAGTCACTGCAGCTGCCCTGTGTGCCTCCAGCGTCATTTCTAAAGTGAAAGAACCCCAAGAGCAGGGTGGCATGGCGGTGGCAAGAGAAGCCCTGGAGTCAGCAGGCCGAGTTAGCGCAAGGCTGGTTCTCCTGGACAGAGCGCTGTCCACCTGTCGGTCCTCACAGCATAGGCACTTTGATCTTAATGGCACAGTTTTAGATGCACCGAACAACTGTCTGGAGGGTACAGAGAGCATCCTCGCCCAGCCACGCCCCCCTCCCCACCCCGTTATTAACTCGCACGTTAGGGCGGCGCCTCTGTGACTGGCCCTGAGCCAACACTACTACTATATCCGCCGAGGTCCTCCACTGAGTGTCACCCTTTAG